TTGGAAACTTCCTAAGAGAATCCATCAAATCAGAATGGAGAAATCATTGTTTACTCCAAAAGAAAGAAAAAGAGAGAGGATATAGTACAGCAACTTCCTGAGCACAGCCAAGAATCTCCTCCATACGAGGGTTTCAACTCACAATTAGAGTATACTGAATATGAAACAATCAGAGATGATCGTCCAGTTGTACTAAGGAAAAGGGTAAGATCTTAAACGAGTCATCCATTATGCAATTTTGTATCTTATGCAAAATTATCACCTCAATTTCAAACGTTTGTTACAACACTGGACAACACTCATATTCCTAAGACAATTTAGGAAACTATCAATATTCCAAATTGGAAGATGGTTGTATTTGAAGAAATGAGAATCTTTAAAATTTTGACACTTGCGAACTAACAAAATTACTAGATGGAAAACAAACAGTAGGATGTAGGTGAGTCTTTATGGTGAAGTATAAGGCTGATGGAAAATTGACATGCTAAAGGCTCGATTGGGTGCAACACATTCATATGACATTGATTATCAAGAGACATTTGCTATAGTTGCTAAACTAAACATAACACAAGTACTGTTATCTCTGGCAGCAAATCTCAATTGACCGTTTTACCAATGAGTTGTAAAGAATGCTTCTGAATGGTGAGCTTACAAAAGAATGAAACAAGGATATTCCCTCAGTCTTTGAACAAGCTAATATGAATAAAGTCTGCAAGTTGAAGAATTCTCTATGTAGTTTGAAGCAATGTCCTAGAGCGTGGTTTGTTAGATTCAATAAAGTAGTTAAAAATGTAGATATACAGTGTCTGACAGATCATGCATTATTTGTGGAACACTTCCAAACATAAAAGATTACAACACTTACGTCTATGAGGATGGTATAGGAATAAAAGGGAATGATGAAGAAAAAATCATGAAACTCAAAAGAATCCTTGTCTCTGAATTCAAGACTAAAGATCTAGAAAATCTAAAATACTTCCTTGGGATAGAAGTAACTTGATCCAAAAAGGGAATTACTGTGTCAAAAAGAAAATATGTAATTGATTTGCTTAACAAAACTGAAATGAGTGGATGCAAGCTAGTAGGCACTTCAAATATCAAGTTTGGGATACAAGGGGAAGTCCTCTAGTAGACAAAGGATAATATCAGAAATTGGTGAGGAAGCTACTATATTTTTTGCACACTATGCCAAATACAGTATTCCTAGGGAGTAATATAAGTTAGTTTATGAATAATTTAACGAAGGAACACTTAGGGGCTATGAATCGAATCTTGAGATACTTATGACTCAAGGGAAAGGATCATTCTTTGGAAAAAGTACAATTCACTAATGCTGACTGGGCATGATAAATCACTAAAAGGAGATCAATCTCAAGATATTGCTCATATGTATAAGGTAACTTAGTGACATGGTAGAGCATAAGACAACCTATGGTGTCTCAAAGTAGTACTGAGGTAGAATTCAAGGCAATGACATTAGGAATACGTAAAAGAGTATGACTCTCACATGTGCTGAAGGAATTATAGTTGAGAATATCACTCCATAAATGTTATGTGTGGCAATCTATCTGCAATAAGCATTGCAAAAAATCCAGTTGACTAGTATCACAAAAAATCCAGTTCACTATGATCGGACTAAATATGTCAAGATAGATTGATAATTCATAAGAGAAAAGATAGAGCAAAAGGAACAACTTGAGTGGTACATGTTTCTTCCAAACAATAAGCAGTTGACATGCTAACTAAAGCTCTGTTGAGAAATAACTTCGAAGACTTAAGTTTGAAGGTTGGCATGGCTAACATTTATGCCTAGCTTGGGGGCGTGTAGAAATATTAAGAGAAAATTTAGGAGGAAAATAAGGAAAAATATGCTCTAATGTTAGAATGCATACGAGAAAAAATAGGAGAGAAATATATGATAGAATCATGAAAAAAAACTGAAACTTTCCTTTATTCTTAAGAATATGTTTTTCAGATTTTGAAGGATAACAATTGAGTGTTCTGCCCTATAAATTGCAAAATAATGTAGAAGAAAATTATAAATGAAAATTCAGTCTTTCTTTATTAACCCTAGCATACTACAAATAAATGGATCCTAGTTAAAAGAGAGTAGAAGGAAAAAAACCTTATATCTATACTGAACTGATTAGAATAATCTTCATGCTTGAAAAGAAAATAATGTACAAAACCATTATATAGCTGAGTAAGAGAAATATACATATCCTAATTAATAGAATTCTGCTATCTTAATTTAATCTTTCTAAATATAGAAGATTTACAAGATATTACAAAATATTCCTACATTCTAAAATTATAATCAATCATTTTAAATATATAATAAATAATTAATCCTAAATTACAGTCAATCATCTTAAATATAGAATAAATAATTAATTGACTTTCCTTCACTCCTCCTCAAGCTTGGTTGTAGATGTTGTGGAGTCCAAACTTGTCAACTAATCTCTCAAAATTGGGTCTCCAAAGACTCTTAGTTAAAATATCAGCTATTTGACTCAAAGTTGGAACATAGATGATAGACACCATCCAATTTTCTATCTTCTCTTTAATGAAATGACCGTCTATTCCAACGTGTTTGGTTCTATCATGATAGACTGGATTATGAATGATACTGATAGCAGCTTTGTTGTCACAGTATAGCTTTAGTGGTTCACTTGCTTGTTGCTTTAGTTCTCCCAGTAAATTTTTTAGTCATATCATCTCACACTTAACGTGAGCCAAGGATCTCAACTCAGCTTCTGCACTGCTTCTTGCAACCACAATTTGATTTTTACTTCTCCAAGTGACTAAATTTCTCCAGACAAATGAATAATACCCTGAAGTTGATCTACTATGTGTGACCAATCCTGTCCAATATGCATTTATAAATGTTTCAATACTCCGATTTGAGGTTTTTTTGAAAAATAAATCTTTTTCTGAAGATCTTTTTAGATATTTTAAAACTCGTGTAACTGCAGCCATGTGTTCCTCTATGGGTTCATGCATAAACTGGCTGACAAGCTTACAGTAAAATTAATGTCAAATTTAGTATATGAAAAGGAGATTAGTTTGCCAACTAATCTTTGAAACCTTCTCGTGTCAACCGGTTTGCTTGTTTTTAAATTGTCTAATTTTACATTGGGATCCATAGGAGTGTTCGCAGGTTTGCAACTCAACATACCAGTTTCCTTTAATAAATCAATGACATACTTTCTTTGAAACACTAAAATTCCTTCTCGGCTTCGAGTTATCTCCATATCAAGAAAGTATTGAAGTTTACCGAAATCTTTCATTTCGAATTTTGAAGTAAAACCTTTCTTGACTCAGATAATTTTCTCAATATCATCTCTTATTATAATAATATCGTCAACATAAACTATTAAGATAATCACTTTACTCTCTATGTGCTTGAAGAACAATGTGTAATCCATATGTGCCTACATATAATCTTATCATTTTATTGCTTTCATGAATTTGTCAAACCAAGCACGCAGAGACTACTTAAGGCCATATAAACTTGTCCGTAATTTGACTGTTTTGTCATGGTTGCCATTATTAAATCTCGGTGGTAGGTCCATAAAGACATCCTCCTCAAGTTCTCCGTTTAAAAAGATATTTTTTACATCTAGTTATTGTAAGGGTCAATCTAAATTAGCAACAAGAGATAGAAGTACATGTACCGTATTAATTTTTGCAATAGGAGCCAAAGTCTCTTGATAATCCACACCATAGGTTTGTGTACGTGATTTCATAATTCAAACAAGTGTGATGAATTTTTCAGATCAGAATAACCAAAAATGACGGCATCGCAGATCTCTTTTGCCATGGAATGAAAAAGACAGGCTTCACCTATCTCATCCTCCATAGAATAAATTAACCACGTCATGATTAAAGAATTGTTAGCGTCTCATAATGCATACGAGGGATCATCAACATCAGGACGAGGAGAGGAACCGTCTATGAAGGCTATTTTGCCTTTTCCCCTAATCACCAAAGCTGCCGAACGAGACCATTGCAAGAAATTCTTCCTGTTGAATTTTTGAGTGCCTCAACCATCCTCATCTCATTCCGCAGCTGACGCCGTGCTTATCATCACCGCACAATTCCGACAAGCTGATTCCGTCAACAAAAACGTTTTCCTTTATTGCATTTAAGCCTATAAAAGGCCATCTTCCATCATTTGTAAGCATCAATTGAATCAATAAAAAAATACATCTCTTCTCTTTTCAAATTCTACTTTGTCTTCTTCATCCTCTTATTCTTCTTCTTCTTCCTCTTCTTCCTTCCTTCTCAAGATCAGAACCATGACTAACGTTCCTGACAGTATATAAGAGTTAGCAGTCCAATAAAGGGCTCGGAATTTATACAGGAAGAATGTTAATTCCACGTTCTTAATTTAGGTAATTGAGTCCAAACCTTTCAGTATCTCCAATAGTTCCTAAGTAATCTGCTAAAGGAAATGGAGGGTCTGTTCATTTGAACAGTTCAAGCCAGTTTGTGTTTCCTTTGCAGTATATGTTCCTACTAGCTAAGGATCTAATTGTTTCTCGAAATAAGAGAATGATAGCTGACAAATTTTAGGCCGAGGAAGAGTGCCTCAGGATAAAAATAAAAACATTGCAAGTATCATTAGATATAAGAAGAGACACTTTCTCTTGCTTTTCATCATCCGTGTAGAAAAGATACTCTAGTTTGTTAAAAACAAAGAATCCTATGGCATAACTGATCTTTCTTTATTGAAGACTTTGATGACAGTCCTTTGGGAAATTAATTTAGGAGTTTTTGTTATTCTTAAGTGTGTGTAATTTTTTTTTTTTTTTTTTGCTGAGATGACTGATAAAGCATTATTAATTGATTATGCTTCTTTCACTTTGCCATTCTCATTCCTAGTCTGCAACTCTAACCCATATATCTTGATGCAACTAGAGGTACCTAAAAGACTAGTGCCTGTTGCTTGATGAATTCATATTTCTCATCCAAGCAATCTCTTCTTTTACATTCAGAGCGTTGCCATCTGGACTGAACTGTCTTCAAAGGAACTTTCCTTGTAATCGAGGCAAGGGAGCATGTAAGTAGAACTGAAATAATGTCCTTGTTAACTGTTGCTTTGTCTAAAATATAACCGTAAAAAATGTCTGATATGTTATTGCTGTTTATTCAAATTAAATTTGCTTTATTTCTGTGGTGTTCATTTATTATTTAGAATGCAGTAACTCTTTGCTTACCTGATATTTGGTAGAAGATTAAGTTTAGTTCCTCCTATAAAAACATTAGTTACGACTTCACCCCAATCAATTCCCTTGCAAAGAAAATAAAACTATACAAGATTCTGAAAAATGCTCAATAGAGGGTGAAACAGTAATAGAATTGACAACTTGAGAAAGCACCCTCAACTATAGTCAACCTGTCTCCCTAAGAAAGATGCTGCTTCTTCCACCCAGTCACTTTTTTTAATAAATGTTTTAGTAAGAGGAGTCCATATGCAAGTCTCATTCATTTGCAAGCTATCCACTCTACACCCTAAAATATTGGCCAGATGCACCAGTCCGTCCACTCATCAACTTAGTTCACTTAACTTCAAGATCAAAGTATATGAAAACAAAGCTATCAGTCTCTTCAGTTTATAGCTGCCAAAATTCTCCTAATAAGATAATTTTACTAAATTTCAGATAATTTCACTTGGTAGGTATTGTTTTTATAGATGATGAGTATTTATACAAAAAAGAGAGTTTACTTTGAGGTGGAACTCTATGTAAACATGATATTGAAGGTTATTACAAAAAGAACAAACCCTATATATTTTATCATGTTTATAAGGTCCATCTGGATTACTTTTTAAAATATCACCGACTATTATCTCTATGAAAACTTTGCAAAATCAGGTTTCTTTTTTCTGATGGATGCAGTTTTTAACTTTTCAATCAAGAGTGGTGGGCCTCAGATCACATCTACTAGTGGGATTGTATTTGAGAGGGATAATGAGACTCTGGGAGCAGCAACATATTTCGTGGCTAACACAAACAGGTGGGCAGTCAGTAATGTTGGACTTCCTACCGGGAGCAACAATCCCCAGTTCATATTCAAGTCACAATCACAATTTGCAAACATGGACTCAGAGCTATTCCAGACAGCACGAATCTCTGCTTCATCATTGAGATACTATGGGTTGGGGCTTGAGAATGGCAACTACACTGTGAATCTCCAATTTGCTGAATTGCAAATTGAAGATTCTACATGGAGAAGTGTTGGGAGGCGTGTTTTTGACATATATGTCCAGGTCTGTATTGTATATCAAAATTGTTTTACTGACTACTTTCTGACTGCTGCCTTTTTAAGCTTCTTTTTTTTCTTTCCTTTTATGTCACAAGTGAGTGCTCATTACCTTAATTTAAATTATGATTGATAGAACTATCATCGCATCTACAGTTAAAATGACATGAACTAGATGACACACATACACGAAATAATAACCTAACCCAGATGTGTTTGCCTATCAAAGTTAAATTTATTCTTAAAATATATTTCAAATATATATCCAAATAACCATTTGTTATGTGATATGGTTATGGGTTTACGTAGAGGGAAATCTAGTTGAAGGTCAGAGAACTTTTTTAGATTGTCTACTCCGTGTCCTATTTTAAGTAATTATTTTAGAGGAACACTTTGGTATGTTAAGTTTAAGGATTTAAAAGCTTTGAAGAAAATATTGCTTTGCTCTTTTGTTCTATACAATCTACAAAGTCAATTGGAAAAAAAGAGATTTTTTGTTTGGCTACCATATTTTATTATTTAATAATTTTATATAGTTAAAAATTTAGTAAAATAATTTTTTTTTTTAAATCAATAGAATATAAATTCTATAAAT